GGAGGGGGGAATGTGAGTAATCGACTAGATTAATCGATAAGCCTAAATTATTAGAGCAAGAATCTGTACGTGGTGAAGGGGTTTGGAGAACAGGCATTCAAGGGCTTTGCTTCAGACCTGTGATTTAATATTATTGTACCGAACTGCAGTGAATCATTGCACAGTGGCCCCGGTAACATGCTGGGCTACCCACTGCACCGTAAAAACGTGCACATCCAAGACAGGCCTGTGTTTAAGGCATGCTAAATTATTAGAGCAAGAATCTGTACGTGGTGAAGGGGTTTGGAGAACAGGCATTCAAGGGCTTTGCTTCAGACCTGTGATTTAATATTATTGTACCGAACTGCAGTGAATCATTGCACAGTGGCCCCGGTAACATGCTGGGCTACCCACTGCACCGTAAAAACGTGCACATCCAAGACAGGCCTGTGTTTAAGGCATGAGGCTGCAACCCAGGCAACATGGCTTGGGCTCATTTGCAGGCCCTGCCATAGAGGTGGTGTATGATTTTGGGTAAAACACCTCTGTGCCTCGGTTACCCATCTACAAAATGGAATTACCTTTGGCTCCCCTTGAGTTGTGCCCGATTGGACTGTAAGGCAGCGATGGGCAACCAGCCAAGACCAGCGAGTGGTCCTCCTCCGTCTCAGCAGGTTGCAAGCAGTGCCCGATGTGTGCACAAGCAAGTAAAATACAGTGGAGAGGGTTAGATTCGGAGGGGTCTGTAAATACAAAAGGCTTCTTGTTAGTTGCATCCTCGCGTATGGATCGGTATAGATGCACATTTAAAATTCTCTTTTTTGTATTTTCATCGTCCTTGCTGTTAGAATAAGGCACGTGTTTTGGTAATGTTACAGAGTTTGGGGCAGAGCTACTCAACAGGTGGCCCGCGGGCCGTTTGCGGCCCGGGGGCCAGTTGGGCACTGGCTCTCCAAGTGCAGGCGCTCACCCTCTCTCCATGCAAAGAGGAGCCCGCGCTGCCGCTGCAGCCTGCCGGTTGGCCGCAGCCGTGAGGCTGCAAAAGCAGGAGCAGCCGGCAGGTGGGGAGATGAAGCGAACAGCCCCCTCCCGCCCGGGAGGCACAGGTGGAGGGGCGGCGCCGCCAAGGTAAGAGCAGCGCCCCCTAGGCTGGTCCCACGGGGCAGGCAGCGCTGGGACGGGGGACCCTGCACACGCAGGAGGCAGGTGAGGGCTTTGCACTAAAGTTCCCTTTAAGCTGCGCGGTCCCAGCCGTTCAAAGTCCCCAGAGCAGGCAGCGGGATCAGCAGATCCGCGGGGACGGGCCTCTGTAAACAGCAGCTGCGCAGGGAATGAGTGTTCTGGGAGGAGGGAGTAATTAACTGGCTTGGGGGAAAGTCCCATCTGCTGGGGGCAGAGACCCAGCAGTCTCTTCAATTTTCCTGGGCTGGGCAGGGAGAGGTGGGGGAAAGAGGGAGTGATTAAGTGCTGGGAATCAGGGGGCAGTTTGTCTGGGGCGTCTGACTCACTGCAGTCCTCTTTGTTGGGGTGGGGAGGGTAGAGAGAGAAAAGAAGCTTGGTGTGTGTGTGTGTTAGGAGGACATTTGCATGATAACATTTCAAACACAGTTTGCAAATAGGTGTTAAAAGAATCCTTTCTTAAGCCATTAACCGTTTCAGAGGGGTAACTGTGTGAGTCTGTAGCTGAAAAGAACAGGGAATGGTACTAAGGTCCTGCAGGACTTATTTGCAAGCTCTTTGAAACATACAAACCGTAAAGCCATCTGTTAATTTGTTTTGGGGCTTCTACTTTCCTCCAGTGGAAGAAGGCTAATTCCCTACCTTTGTACTGCACCTTTGTAGGCAGTAAGGCTACCTCACAGCAATTAGTCACAGGTGTCTTGTTTTAATATAGTTTATTCCACACATTGATCATTAAAAGTGCTGTCATATGGGTGTTGCATTTTATTAATATCAGCAGAACTGACTTAAATGGGGGCCTGCCTGTTGTGTAGTCTTGCCTTAATCCTATTCATGCCAGTCAGTGTGAAATAAGCTATTTGCATATATATTTGCATGTAGATGCAGCCACACTTAAGTTGTGGCCCTTGGCATGTGCTGTGAGTATCATTGTGGGCTTACAAAGTTGAGTAGCCCTGGTTTAGGGCCTCAGCATGTCATCTTTATCCAGCCCTGACTAAAAGAATTGGCTGATGCATGGTGTTCAAGCTCTAGGAGGGAGGGCGGGGAAGAGCAGAGATGAAGGGCAAACCAGCTGATTCGTGGTGCTCTGCAAGCGCTGAGAGGGAAGGGGAAGAGTAAGTGTGGGGTTACCTCTTGAGCACTGGGGCTCAAGTGTGGATGGGGGAAGAGGGCCAAGAGGGGGTGTAAAAGCCACAGGTGGAACCATAGAGGGCCTTATGTGGCCTCTGGGCTGCAGGCTGCCTATCACTGAATCAGATACATGCACAGCTAACCTTGCGGTTGTCCCATCTGCAGCCCAGAAAGCATGAGTTCTGGAAGAACTCAAATGTGAAATTGCGGAACTATTCACTGTTGTTTGTAACCTACCCTTTAACTCAGCTTCTGAACCTAATGACTGGAAGATAGCTAATGTGAGGCCAATATTTAAAAAAGGCTCTAGAGGTGATCCTGTCAATTACACACCAGTGGCTACATCTAGACTACATCCCTTTTTCGTAAAAGGGATGTAAATTAGACCTATCGCAATTGCTAATGAAGCGGGGATTTAAATCTCCCCCCCTTCATTAGCATAAAAATGGCTGCCGCTTTTTTTCGGCCCGGAGCTTTGCCGGAAAAAAGCGCCAGTCTAGATGCTGATCTTGCAGAAAATAAAGCCTTTTCCGAAAGATCCCTTATCCCTCTATGAAATAAGGGCGCTCCGTGCCGAAAAAAAGCGGCAGCCATTTTTATGCTAATGAAGCATCCATGTGTGGAATAATTTTATATGCGCTGAGGTATGCGCACCACCAGTTGAAACAAAACACCTCACGGGGGAAGCTCTGCTGATCAGCAGGGCAGCATCTGAATCTCTCCCAAGTGGCCGCACAAGCACACGGCTGATAGGACATACTGCCTATGAGCCTGGTTGACTTGTCAGAAAAGTAAAATCCCCCTCTGGCCCCAAACTGGAAAGTTCCAACCATTTCTAGATAATAAACTGGGCAACTCTTTGGAGTGATCAAACTCCACCAGAAAGATCGGAGCTCAGTGTCCATATGTACCACTGCCGTCTGTTGAAACTCTCTTACTATCTGACGATAAACATCAGGCTTTATACTGCTAAATGCTAATGGAGAGTTTCCATTAGCTGATTTGCTAGGAGCCTTTGCTGTTTGGAGCAGGAAGATCTGAATGTATTTCCCACTGTTATAACACTTTCAACTGTCAAGAAGCTAGATCCACTACATACATCAGTGCATGACAGCATCCCATTTTAAGTGTTTTAGATTTGCTAAGTTGAACTAATTAAACCCAGAACCAAGAAGTGAGCGACTACATATCCCATCACCACTGGTAATAAATAATGTGCAAATATGAGACTGCAAAAAAAAGGGGGGGGGGGAATTTATTCCCCACTGGTCACATGTAAATGGCACAAAGAAAGTCCATCCTATTTTAGAACATTGGCCTGTGTCTCAAATTGTTCTGCCGCTCCGCTTGGCAGGAAAACGGAAGCAGCTGTTGTTATGTGCATTTTTCTAGGACAATCAGCGCTAGTGAGTATTCCAGATTAGAAAAACATTACATTTCACAGAGCAAACATTCTAATAACCTTAAGAACTTTGGCAGCGTTAACCCAAATCCAAGGTTATAAATAACCACAAAACCTTGAATGAAGGCATCAGTGACAAAAAAACAGTAAGGAAAAACTGGGCCAGAGAGGGTTGTTTCAGATATTGAAGGATGTGTCCTGTTCAAACCTTGACATTTTTATGATGTGTTTTCCATCCCTCCCTCTTCAGTCCTGTTGCCTGTGTGCTGAATGCTAGCGCTGTAAATATTTGTGCACCTTAAGACAATAGCTATCAAAGGGGGTCGTTGCTGAAGGAAAGTGTGAGATGCCAGTAGATTCAGGCTAGGAGTAAGATGGGGTCTGCTTTGGCAGGTGCGGAAGAAGGAAATATGATGAAAATAAAGTAAAAACCCAATAAAGAAAACTTGTAGAGCATTCTGAGCACAATCAGAACAATCCCCATATAAATCAAGTGGTCCGGGATATTATGTGAATGCTCTGTCTGCAGAGGTGGCGAGCTAGCTAACTATTAAAGTGCCAGTAGATGGCGCTCGATTATATACAGCATAATACCTGGGTTTTTGTAGGACCTATAAAACATATAAACTGTAAATTACTTCACTTGTGAAGTTCTTAACAGGTGATGAGTCACTGCTGATGACTGCAAGGCATTTCTAATCCAAGGGAGAAGGGGAAGGCAGCCAAGAACAGTAGCGTGACTTCTAGCCTTTTCCCCTTGGCCTCGTGAGCCACCCTACTCGGAGCATCTCCCTGTGCCCCCACTTGTCTTGGGGAAAGGAGAATGGGCTTCTTCCTGCTCATTTCATCTTGTTTCTCTCCCCTCCCTTCCTGTCTGCCTGCATCAGACAGATCTCGCTCCATGCTTCAGTTAGTTGTAATTGGAGTGTGGACACCCGACCCACCTGGATTAGCATAAGGCCTCCTGGGAGCTCGTGTGTGCCCGTGCGGGGAGGTGGCTCTCGGGAGTATGGACACCTGACCCACCTGGATTAGCGTAAGGCCTCCTGGGAGCTCTTGTGTGCCCGTGCGGGGAGGTGGCTCTCATGTTCCACAGTTACCAACTTTGGCACCCTACTGAGGAGTGCAGGTACCAGAGCTAATACATTGCTGAAAGGGGTGACGGAGTGCGACCAGCGGGAGCGCGACCAGCGGCAGCCCGGCTGGGCGGAGTGGATATCACAGGGGGCAGAGAACACACTCCACAGAAGGATCGTTGCCCCCTGAGGAGCTGTCGAACAGGCGTGGGCGGGCGCAGAGGACACCCTGGCGAGGAACCGGTTCTGGGGGAGGGTGGCTTGGGCACAGGCCCGGTGGGGCAGTGAAGAGGCCCCTTAGCCAGCACACCCAGTGGTTTGCGGGCTGAGCGCTCTCCCAGGTGGCGGTGCCTGGCTGGCATATGTGCCAGAGGCGCCTGCGTGATTCAGAAGACTCGCACGCTCACCCCTATAAAACGCGGCGGGGTGTAGCTAGGCTCAGGGCCGGCTCCAGGGCATGGCTGCAGGGTGCTTTCCAGTCAGAGGGGGGGAGGCCTGAAAGGAAGAATGGGCCCAGAAGGTGGGACACTGCACCCTTCTGTCCTTTCCATTCGCATCTGAAGGATACGCTGCCACTTTCCTCTGCTGTTTCGCCAGCTCACACAGCTCGGGGGGGCTGCCTTAGAATAAACTTTGTAGCAGCCCAGGATGGACAGACCCACTCAGCCTCGTGGGCCGTGCTCTGGGCTGAGCTGACGAGCTCGCTGCTGTTCTTGCTGCTGTTTTATGTCTGGCTCGGTGTGCCTTGCTCCGTCAGACGTTACACGCGCTTCATGTTCTCCCCCCACACATACCCTTGTTAGTGTCCTCGGAACAGGCTCTGTGCACCAGTCCAGGAAAGCCACTGAGGTCAGCAAGAAACACCTCCCCAGCTGCTGTGAGAATCGGCCCTTGACCTCTGACGCACAAGCGTGCAGTCACGCTCCTTCCCCAAGCAAAGCACGAACACACGCCGGCCGTGGAGCAACGTTTTCTCTTCCGTAAGGGTCACCAGTGAGTCCCACTTCTGAAACCTCAAGTAACCAGGTTCTGGGAAGGGGCCCCATGTGCCCAAGATGGAGGCACGGCACAAGAGATCCCGTAGCTCGAGACCTGCGTGGATACAAAATTGGTATCCACAGCTGCAAAAATGATGCATGGATCTCTGCATCCAGATCCACAGATCTCGTCATCCACCTCTGCAGTTGCAGATACCCCGGGTTATAAAGCAGATATCTGCCCATTTGCAGGGGGTCTAGATACAAAATTTGTCTCCACGTCCACCAAAGCGAGCTACGGATTTGTAGGGAGCTTCATGCTGCAACCCCACAGCTGCGGCTGTAACGCTGGCAGACCCTGGGCAGCTGTGGGTGGAACTGAACCTGGGACCTCTAGAGCTTAGAACATGAGCCTCTCCTGCATGAGCTGAAAGCCAGCTGGCTGCAGAGCAGACTCATTATTCTTTGTGAGTGGTCTCAGTGCCACTAGATGGGTTACACAACCACAGGCCATGGGCTGTAATAGCAGCTACTGTTCCAACCTGGCTCCTACAGGCTGTTGGATTCATTATGTATATGGATTAAATAGGTCCACCCATGCACGCACATAACCCAGTCCCTTAGCCCGCCTCTTCTCTGCTTCCATTCACCCTTCCTTCCCCCGGAGGCCCAAGGAGAGGCACAGAAGGGGGCCGAATTCACTACTCAGCCCATTTCTGCTGCATTTGGGGTCTGGTGCACCCCGGGAGGGGCCTGCCATTTCAGCTGGCCCAACACAAAGTAGGTTACAATGACAGGGGCTGAGCCGGGCCCCTAAACAGACACCTTTAGAACTCCCATTACGTCCCCAAAGGGACGTGGTTTTACTCTCATTTGTGAGTTCCCCAGGCCTGGGGCTGATTGGTTCTCTGCCAATGGAGAAACTCAGCACTTGGGTGGCAGCCACAGAGTCACTCAGTGAATAGCAGCGTCAGAGTCAACAGCGCAGCTCCACGAGGCCTGGGTGGCGCCTGAGCACTTCCTGGGGCTCTGCACCAATCGCTGCCCCTTCCTCACTTGATTGACTTCACCTCCCTGGTCAAATCAGCAAGGCCCCCGCTAGTGGTAGCGTGTTGGAGCAGCCCTGTAAATCCATGAGGCTCCCCCACTGGCCCCGCCCCTGCCACGATAAAGCGATTTTGTGCTGTTTTACTCACTTAGAAGTAAACCTCTCAGGGAAGCCGAACATGTTCCAGGCTTTTCTCAAATGGGCTGAAAAGTTGGCTTGAATTTCGAAGCGGCTGGCAAGGGCTTTGCCTGACGTTGCAATTAGGGATGTAAGGAACTAGTCCGGGGTGGGCAAAAGGGTCTCTGGGGGCGGGAACTAGCCTCCCGGAGGCCCTGTCGCTCCACCACCCCCAAGCCAATCAGGGACCCATATGCAAAGTCTTCTCCCACCCTGCGAGGGGCTCAGCACTTAAAGTCAACCGCCAGCCGCTGCTCAGGGGGAGGGTGACTGTAAGCACGGTGCTCCCTTGCAGAGCAGGGCAGGGCAGGGCGAGAGACTTCACGTGCTCCCCCTCTCCAGGCCCTAATTGACCTGGGGCAGCGGAGGGAGCACAAGAAGTCTCCTCCCACCGCTGGGGGCACAGGACCTAGAGGAAACTGCCAGCTCTCTAGTGGGCAAAGACTTTGTGCGCTTCCCCACCCCCAGACCAATCAGGGTCTGTGGGCGGGGAAGTGTTCTGACCCCGCCCCTTCTGCCGGAGGCCCCGCCCCGTCCGG